CTCAATATAAAAACAGGGTTTCAAGTCTACTCTCACACAGTAAACAGTACAGAGTTAAGCTATCAACTAACTTTATTTCATATCTTAAGTCACAAGTCAACATGAATTGACATGAATTCGAACAATGTTATCTATATCACATGATTAAGGCAATTGTATTACATATTTACCGCACAGTTAAAGTTTAATTTACGTAGTTCTAATTGAAACCATGGTAAACTGCCAGGAGACCAACCTGAAAACAGCTCTGCTATGGCTGCTCTCCTTCCGTTGATAATTAATAAACTAATAAATATGTAATTTTAATGCACAACCTGTCATATTTTCAACGGAAAAATAAATTATTAGATTAGATTAGATTTATAAGATTAGAGAGAATAGATATAACGCGGTTAAGCTATCTCCACACATGTTAATAGCATAATTTAAGTATGCCGCATGATTTAAGCTAATCATGCTAAGTATTCAATGGAAACACAGTTTTAATGAATAATGTCATTATGTCTAAGTTTAAAACATTAAATCATTAATAATACAAAACAAACTGCAGGTTTACAGAATATCATGTTTCTATGATTTTAGCTAAATATATGTATTTAGTTGTACTGACAAGTCTGGACTACCACGTGTAAAGTCAACCCAGGACGTTTTATACAAAAAATATAGCCCGGCAAGATCACTGTGATGCGGGGGTTCCAGAATACAGGGTGCGTCATGATACAGGGTTTCCAGGAAACTAGGTGTATCAGAATACAGGGTATATTAGGATACAGGTTGTATCATGATACAAGGGTTACAGGATACAAGGTGTATGAGGATACAGTGTATAGAAGGATACATGATGTATCAGGATACAGGGTGTATCAGGGAACTGGGATTCCAGAATACTAGGTGTATCAGGATACAGGGTATATTAGGATACTGGGTTTATCATGATACAAGGGGGTTGCAAGGATACAGATACAGGGTGTATCAAGATATGAATTTAAAAAAAATAACTTTTATATCTCGTTACAAGACAATACAATACAAATATAATACATTAAATATATGGCTATTACACTTTTGTTGACAGATAACAACACACACACCAGACAAATTTGAATAATAGGCCCGTCGGAATTCTGGTGGGGGATGTTTATTCTCCCCGGACAATTCTTTCCCGGTTGGCCGCAAATACACACAACAGAGTAACCCCCGTCTCAAGAAAATCGACAACAAAAGCTTTATTTCCTAAAAAATAACATAAATTATAGGTCATGGTTACTTGTACAATGTTATAATAAATATTAATAATAGAAAAAATCTTACGATTTATTTGCGGATGATAAAGGGGTAACTTATTGTTGATCAGTATTAAAAGACGTTTTTTAAACTTCTGAAATAAATGACAGTTGAATATTTAACGAAATTCACTAATTCTTCATATGAAAATATTCTTGTTTAACTTTTATGGGTTCACAATAAACGGAAGTGTTTAGACTCCGTCCCTGGAGAACAAAGAAAAAGGGGACTGAAATTGTTTGGTTTGGTATCTCCGAGAGGGGATTTCAGTTAAAGACGGACATTACACAGAGGTCTTACAGTTAATGGTTAACAACTTTAGCTAGCATATGACAGACTTTATATCCTTAGTGTTTCCCACAGTAATGGCTGTAGACCTTTAGGTTCCATGAAGTAGCATTTTATCATTCGATATTCCATCCCCTAGAAACCAGCGACGTCGCACGACCAGTCCCATTAGGTCAAGATAGGTCAGATTAGGTTGGGTTACGTCAGATTACCAAATTGGTCGCAATATGACCAGTCCTTTTAGGTCGTGTTAGGTCAGGTTGTGTCGGGTTACGTCAGATTACCAAACTGGTCGGAACATGACCAGTCCCCCTAGGTCGTGTTTGGTCAGGTTAGGTCGGGTTAGGTGTGGGGTGGGGGTAGGGGTATCAACAACAGAATTGGACAGCATGGTGTGAATGTAATACCAGGGGGGGGGGGAGGGTTAAAGTGTAGCAGTACTAATAGAGTAAATTAGACTCTGCTCAGTGGTTAATAAATAGGATAAATAAATATCTAGTTTGGTGATTTGGACGTCAAAACTTTGATCATATGGTCGTCAAAAGTTTGGTCATTTGGACGTCAAAAGTTTGGTCATTTGGACGTCAAAAGTTTGGTCATTTGGACGTCCAAAGTGACGTCATTTCGACTTCGAAAATTAGGTTGTGAGGACGTAAGAATCCTTGCGTTAAACGTCCTCAACACGTCCTCAACACCTAAAATACGACGTCGCCGGACGTCCCATTGGTAATTATTGACGTCCTCATGACGTCCTAAGGACAACTTCTGGTTTCTAGGGTCAAAATATCATATTTAGGTCAGAAAACTTTCAGATTGTTATATATTTAAAGATTTTTCTATACATAAATTAAGCTTGTCTTGGTGTCTGTTTTTTTTTTTATCCAATAAACGTCAACGGCTGAACCGATCGGGCCCAAATTTTTTAAAAAATGTATGTACAAATGTAATGCGCATTGGACATTAAACATTTCAAAAAAAAATATTCAAAACTTGTGGAATTTGTTTATGAAAACTTGTTTTTTCGTTGGTGGGGATGCCCCCCACTGCAATGCGCAGAAGGGGGGAGGGGGTGGGGAGGGCACAATATGATTCAAATTATGCATTATTATTCCTCTCTCCAGGATTGTTTTTAGTTTCTCGCAACTTTGAATATTTTACTTTTTATTTTAAAGAGTTGTAGTACAGGGTGTCCCAATTAACATGGGAATTCAGTGACGAATTCGATATCGTCTTTATAAATAATTCTTCGATTTAGTATAGTGATACCTAATAAGGAAAGCTGTAATCTGTAAGAGTTTCGTCTGCTATGTTCACATTTTGTTTGTTTATGTTTTGACTGAATACGGTTGTACTTAGTAAAACAAGAAAATTGCAGTATACATACAGAGTAAACTTGTCCGTCTTCGCTGTTCATCTTGTGGAGACATTATAGATACATCTTTACATTACAGTCTTTTACTCCTTTGATAAAATAAACTCTAGCAGACAAAATAATATTATGGCTATTGAAATTAGGTGTTACAATGCTAATTATTAACAAAGACGATATCCATTTCGTCACTGAATTCCCATGTTTTTTTGGGACACCCTGTAGTTGACAGAAATATTAGTGATGGAAAACTAGCGACGTACACTGTACAGAGGTGTTTAGTTTAATAAATTACAATAAACATAATCTTTTACATTTTTATCTAGAGCTTGCTTGTCAACTGTACAAATGGTAAAATTCGAAATCTTGCAATTTTACATTTTTGCAGTCTAAAATTTAAAAACGTGCCAAATAAGATCGAAAGAGAAAAATTATAAATAATGATATTACATCATATTACAATATTGTTAAAAGATGCATGAGAGAATAAGATTAAAGGGAGTGTTCGCGAAAAATGAAAGGGGGTATAGGCTTAATGCTATTAAAAACTGCTTTTGATCGCTAATAATCTTACTTCTATCTGTTGCGTCTAGCTATAAGGAGAAAATTGTAAAAGACGTCTCATACCGAATAACTTAGCGCCCATACAAATTCAGAAAATTGCAACATACGACATAGACNATCCTTGAATCCTTGAATCCTTGAATCCTTGAATCCTTGAATCAGATTTTGATTATTTATATTCTCCAGATCAATATATAGCGTGTGGGAGCTGTTACAGGGATATGTTCACACACACACTTCAACATGTGCAAACCCCTTGTGTCTCCTATATTCCCCTATTCTTTACAAAAACTGTCCATTCATAACTCTCCCTGTTTTTACCGCACTTAACTCCATCAAAGTCCCTTTTTATACCAGTACGCATGTGTTCATTACTAAACCATGATACTTTTTTCCTTCTCAATTTCTAAACTTGATGGGTTAAGCATGCCACCAAAATAATGCTTATAATTCAGAGGGCTGATGTCACGGAAAAATAAAACAAAATTTGAAAAACCATTTTAAAAAGTTAGCAATTTTTTAATACTAGATGATGGGTCCGGTTTTGCCCGTGGAAAAATGAAAATCAAAAGGTTATGAAAAAAACTGTTGAAAAAGAATTTGTGTTTAACACCCCCCGGCCACCTATGAGTGTCCACAAAAAATTTCAGCCCATTCGATCTTGTTTTATTATATGGATTGTGCCATACAACTTGTCGCTAAAAATGTATAATGTATATATACATATTTACATAAAATCAAAACAAATATTTTTTATTTTCGCAGAAATATGATATTAAACAAGAATATACATTGTTACAGAGTTTATAAATTACTTTATAATCTGAAAAATCACTTAAAAATAAAAATGTTGTAAGGTTTAATTTCTTGTGATTTCTTTAACCATCTTTAAAATTAACTTTGAAGTACTTACTATATCGTTAGTTAGATTTGAAATATATTTTCAAAAAAAACTAACACCTATTTTATTTACGTGAGGTTTGAAGCATATTAACACCGAATTTAAATCTTTATTATTTTATTATTATTAATAGATGAAGTTCACTTATGTACATATTCCATAAACAATTTATGTTTAATCTTTCAAGCACTTTTCTATCTATGATATTCTTTAAGAGATAATCTTAAAAACTATGAAAAAAGAGAAGAATAAATAACCCTGCAAGTGTTGAATATCAATTATTTAGAAACCAGACTCAACTGATTTAAACGAAGAAGGAAGGAAAAAATAAATGTAAGAATGGGAATTATAAACTAAATTGATATTTTATAATCTTCATGAGAATTTAAAAGTTTAACATTTATTCTTTTTTTGAGAACAATTTTTACATCATCCTTCAACCCTACAACAGGTTGATTCTTACACCCAAATATTATCAAACCCTCCCCCCCCCC